TCTTTAACAGCATAGATCTGTGATTAATCTCAAGATTTCTTTATATTTCTTTTCTTTTTTTCAGGTGCTGGGAATTAAACCCAGAGTGCAAACTAGGTAAATACTTTATCACTGAATTACATCTGCAGCCCTGGTTTTTCTCTTTACAAAAGTTTCGTGTCTAGCTTCTAGATGACTGGACTCTCCTATCCGCACCTGCTTTTGAGTGGTGAGATCACACATACAGCTCTGGGACTCTCCATCACAAACCCATGAGAGAACTGCAGTGAAAAAGTCAAGTAATGCACTTGTGTTTTTATGAAAATGATATTGACCTTGCAGAGTGTCTGAAAGAATTTCAGGAATTCCTAAACTATACTTCCAGAACTATTGGAATAATAATATCAAAACAAGGGTTTTAAGAACATGTGTTTTAAGATATGATTATTTCTGAGGCATATAGTTTAAAAAAATTTTTTTTTAGTTGTTGATGGACCTTTATTTTATTTATTTATATCAGGTGCTGAGAATCAAACCTAGTGCCTCACACGTGCTAGGCAAGCACTCCACTGAACCACAACTCTGGCCACCAAGGCATATACTTTTAAGTATACAATAATCTCTGAGATAAATATTTTCTCCAATTTAATTGGTTTGGCTATTTTTATATTTGTCTTTTCCTGGAGACTTTGACTTTAAAAACAATCCAGAAACAGGAAATCCTAAATCTGAAGGAACAAGGATTTCAGCCCCTTTGGGGTCAGCAAGAATGCCTAGTGTCAGGGCTTGGCACACTTTATTTGTCTACCATTCTGTGAACATACTTAGAGGAGTACATAGACATAGTTTTAGCTTCTGGATGAAAGCAAATTCAACCCTACAGACTTTATGTTTGTACTATCACTTCCAAGAAGTAAGACCCCACCAGGGTGTCCCACAGATGGGAAATTAAGAGACTATCCCAAGCTCTTGGCTTTCGAGTGCCCCAAAGAGAGTAGTAAACCTCCATGTTTTGATCAACCAGAGGCAAGAAGGGAACTTTTTGTCTTGAATACCCACACCCTGAGGGTATTCTAAATTCTTAGAACAGATCTATCTCTGGTGTTGTGAGACAGGAAAAAAATCTTGAGTCCTGGTTCCAGATTACTCATCATCCCGTGAGAAAGATATTAATGTTTTGTCACTTGTCTTCAGTTGGGACATACTTAAACATGGCATTGCTTGATGAAGCATTTTAGAATGTAATGCTCTATTTCTACAGATGCCATCGACTAAGCAAATGACAGGGGAGTCATAATCCCTTAATTCATCACTCTTCTTTCTGAAATAATGTGCTGTCTCTTTCTGCTTTATTCCCAACTTCATGCTCCTCTGAAATATTTATAATGTTTCTATTAAAAGTGAGGCACTTTGATAGACAGAATTTCATCTTTATCTGACTGCCAATTCTGTTTTTAATTATTTATTTATTTTTGGTACCAGGGATTGAACTCAGGGGCACTGGATCACTGAGCCAGATCCCCAGCCCTATTTTGTATTTTATTTAGAGACAGAGTCTCACTGAGTTGCTTAGCATCTCACTTTTGATGAGGCTGGCTTTGAACTCCAGATCCTCCTGCCTTAGCATCTCAAGCTACTGGGATTACAGGCATGAACCTCCATGCCCAGCTCTGTTTATTTTTAATTATTAAATATTTCTTCTTCCTAAATAAAAGGAAAGTATATTCTTTAAAAAGATTAAAAGTATAAATAAAAGAGGTAGGTATAATTTCCAATGAATCTCTAAGCGGAAATTTTAATAAGTTTTCCCATAGATTTTCTTTTGTTTTTACCTATTTGAGATTATCCAAATATTATCTTTACATCTTTTTGCTTAATATGTATCACAAGTAGGTTTAATGTCTTTAAAAACTCAAAATACTTTTTAGGACTCTGGTTAGCTTTCTTCTTTTTTATTTTAAACATTTAAACATTTGGATTCCCAATGTTGGTGATGAATATTTCAATGGGAAAATCTTATTCCTCATTTCATATTTCCTCCGAACAAGTTGCTTCTTAGAAGTAGAATTACTGGGGGAGGCGGGTATACACACTTTATGTACTGAAAAATTCCTTTCCAAGCAATGTATCAAAATTACACCATCAGATAATTGCGCTGGATAATGCACTAGATAAGGTGCATTTCATTGCACCTCGACTGGTATAAAGGTATTTACAAGCAATCTTAGCTTACGATTGGTAAGGGGAAAGGAGTCTATCCTGTTAAAAAATTGTATTTTTTGCTTATTATTTAGATTGGATCTTTAAAAATTCAAGTATAACTACAAAACATACTAAAATTCTCTAAGATAAAGGTTATATAAATATACTGTGATCACTCTTCTTTGATTCAATTAATGACTCAATTAATGAATCACCCTCAGAATTGTATCAAACCTTTTGGTGGTAAACACTGAAATAATTTTTGGCTACCTTAATCAGAAGAGAAATGTATTTGGAGACCATCAAGTGGCATATCAAAGAGACAGGGAGGCTGGAGAATCAGGCTTACCAAATAGGCAGGGAAACTTGGCAGCTGGAATCAGAATAGGTTACATCACTCCAACAGCCTGCTTAGATACCACTGGCACTGTCATGATGGATACTACCACCTGTCACTTCAGGCATTACTGTCCCCAGACATAAAAGTTACTTCACGGATGATGGAGTTACTTTTGTTTTTGGTACCAGGGATCAAATCCAGGGGCACTCATCCATTGAACTACATCCTTAACCCTTTTTATTTTTCTTTAGAGACAGGGTCTTGCTGACTTACATAGGGCCTCGATAAGTTGCTGAGGCTGACTTTAAACTTGTAGCCCACCTGCCTCAGCCTCCCAAGCAACTGGGATTGCAGGCATGTGCCACTTAATATGCCTTGCCTGACAGGGTTACTTCAAAAACGTCTCTTCTTGATTCACAGAATCCAGATTCAAAGAGTGAGAGGAGACTCCGATTGGCTGAACTTAGTCACTTAATGATGCCCCAGCTGCTAGGTGTGACGAGTTTAAATGATCATTTTGCCTTAGCATCCCAAATTGCTGGGACTGCAGCTGTGTGCCACTGCACTTGGATTTTTAATACGAATTGGCTGCTTGGTAGTAAGATCATCCATGCATGATTAATGACTGCTATAAATATGTGCCTGGAATTCTTTATTCATAATACTTTTTAGGACTCTGGTTAGCTTTCTTCTTTTTTATTTTAAATATTTTTAGTTATAGATGGACACAATACCTTAATTTTATTTATTTATTTTTTTAATGTGGTGCTGAGGATCAAACCCAGTGCCTCACACATGGTAGGCAAGTGCTTTACCACTGAGCCACCATACCAGCCACTGGTTAGCCTTCTTGTCATTGAATTCTAAATTGTCTAGTAGATCATGAGATGCAGTCCAGAATTGCAAACCCAAATTTCTACCAAATTCTTAAATGTCAGTGAGGTGGTTGGTAAATGGACAGGAGTGGTGGAGACTGCAAAAAACTGAAGAGCACCTTCACAGTCTAAAGGGAACAACTGCTATTCATCTCCAGCTGATGGTTGCTAGACTCTCCAAGGACCAAATACTGTCCCATCTTATAGCTTTTCAGAAAATACAAAAAAAAAAATCTGAATTTTTGTGAAATTTCCTGAATTTAGAATTTGGAACCAAATTCAAACCCTTAAAAGTTAAGGCTGCCAACAGCTTCCATCAAGCCTCTTTATTTAAGAAAATCAATGCAGGATGATGACACATAAGATGAAATGCCTGAGACCAAATAGCTTGCGAGGTGACAGATCCAGGGCTAGAAGTCTGGATTCCAAAGAAAGCCAACCATCCTACTCTGTAGTCGCTTCTCCCATTTGCAGCTAGCCTCCCAACCAAACTCAAGAAGAGTGCCTGAGTTTTATCCAGTACCAGCAGCTTTAGTAAAATATTTACAAACTAATAGAATCTGTTCAGCCAACAGAAACAGTTTTTAATATCAGATCAGAGTGGCTTTTATTAAATTTTTTGCTCCCAGATGTGAATTTAACTTTAAACTTCTACTTCTTTCTAGGCAAGCAACCCAAGATAAATAACTTTTCTTCTCTGTATCTTTCTTATGGAAAAAATCTGAGTACTTTTTATACACGGGTTTGTAACAGATAAATAAGATTACATGTATTGAGTGGTTGGCACAATGCCAGGACCATGTTTTTTTTCTTTTTCTTTAAAAAAAAACCACATGAATGAAGTGATAATAACAATATAATAATATCCAGGCGCTAGGATAATACAAAGTTCAGGAAGGTGTATAGGAGAGATAATGTCTTTCTTGGTGAGCATGTCCAGTTATGGATAAATCTCAAAATGGAATTTTTGTGTATGTGTGAGTGGGGTTTTTACCAAAACCCTATCCGTTGCCAGTTTCACTGTCAAATCCAGCTGCATTACAGCTTGTGTGCTCTGCGGTCACCATTCTGGTCCATCAGGGTGAAAGTGATGGTGGAATAAAGGGGGAGTCCAGGTGGTCGCGGGCTGGGCAAGAGGCGTGGTTTTCAGATGGGTAAGTTGCACCCAACCGTTTCACGCTCGTTCTAGGCCGTCCGCAGGGCCCTGCCGCCACCTGCGAGGTTTTTCTGCAGAATGCGGGAGGCTGTGGCCGCGGAGGAGGGGGCGGAGGCAGAGGCGGAGGCGGCACCCAGGGGCTGGGGCCGGGGAAGCCAGGACCATCGCAGTGACAATTTCTTTTCCTGCGGCGGCGGCAGCAGGGAGAGCTGCTGCAGGTTGCGAATCAGCGGGCCTGCGCGCGGGTTTGCAAGGACGCTGTTCCACCCCGGCGCTGGGCAGGCGGGCTACGATCGGGAGGAAGAATAGGAGAAAGGGGAGCAACCTACGACCCCGAACGAGTGGAACTAGCAAAGCTCTTCGGCTGGCAGGGAGAAGCGGGAGGAAGCACGCCGCGGAAAGCGGGTGGGCGCCTCCTAGCTGGGTGCCATTATCAGTCCGCTGCAGTACCTTCCAGCAAAAGCCACCGAATACGGGGCTGTAGCGGCCAGACGGATGCCAAAGCCACACGGCGCGCGAGCGGGCAGCTGCCGCGGTCGCCGTCCCACGCGGGCCCCGGACATCAAGGGCTGCTGGTGAGTAGACGCGCGCGCGCGCGCGGTAGAGTGTGAGCGCGCTCCGGCACAAGCGAGTGTGCACGCCAGGAGCGTGTCTGGTGGCTCGGCGCGCGCCGGCCCCTCTTCCGCTGACGGCGTCGGGGCGCCGGCTGGCTCCTAGGGGAAGATGCGCTCTGCTGTCTGCTTGCTTCCTTCCAGCCAGCGCTGTGGTCCGGCCGGCTCCCGTGCGCTCCTCCGCCAGTCCCTAGGGGTTAGTTTCACCTTGATGGGGAAGGCAGAGGCAGGAAGCTGTGGTTCCTGGTAGGGGGCGGGACTCTGGCTCCAACTTGTACCTAGGTGCGCGTGCTTTTCTTGTTCAAACTTGGAATGCAACCGTGAAAATAATGTCTACATAAAGATCACCGCTCTGTGACCGTGCGTGTGTGCAGAAGCAGGGGGGCAAGGGTTGGAAAGACTGACATTTACTCCTGCAAGGCGTGTGGGACGCCTTTCTAGATTTTTTTTTTTTTTTTTTTGCCTTTTCAGAGCGATCCTTTAAAGACATTTCTGCCTTCCGAATAACTTTAGCCTTCACTGAAAACCCCCAGTAAAATGCACTAAGAAGTGGAATGTCAACAAAACACAATTCTCCAGAACTCTAAAACAACCAAGCCTAACGTGGTTTAGTTCCCGAAGTTTAATAAAAGAAAATTGCATAAAAGAAAATTGCCGAAGGAATAAATAATTCAGGAAACTCAAGCTGGTCTAGAGGATTGGAAAAAATCTCTAGTATTGGGAGGAGGGAGGAGGGGCGGCTTGCTTTCCGGAAATCAGTGTTTGGTAGCAAGTGAAACAGACATCATTCAAAGTAAGTGACCATACTGCTTTTTAAATATCCTGTTAATCGCTGAAAATAAAATGAAGTCTTGGATTTTAAGACATTTTCAGGAATATAGAGAATATTTCTAGGATGCTGATTTATGGTTCATGATTCAAGATCCTGTCAAAATCGGTAAGGAAGATTTGTTCCAGCAGATAAATTACACCTGAATGTTTGATTTCCTGTTTCAATTTTGGGGGAGGAGTTTTTTGTTGTTGTTGTTTGCTTTTCTTTTTGCAGTCCTGGGGATGAAAGGCAGACCCAGTGGCAAGAGCTCTACCTTTGAGCTACATCCCCAGCCCATAGGCATTAGTTTTCTATGGTTGTTTTACAGAGATTTAACCACTATGTTTTATGTTGTTCCCAGACCTTGTTTCAGTTGGCAATTGTATGTTTTTAGGATGGATGGTAAATTTAAGTTCAAAATGTACTCCATGACTGAATTATATCTGACATATTTGTAGCTACACTATACATGTTTTGTGTTAATTTTAAACTGGAGTCAATGTCTTTGAGCCCTAGGCTCTTCTTACCTTCTTACCTCCATTAGTGCTTCTTCTATTAAAAGGCATGAAATGTTACTGGAATCTACCTGGAAAATAATGACTGCATGCTTTCTGTTAAAGTTTACATACAGCAAATGTTTGCCACATGGAAATACATTTTTGAATATACTTTGCTTGTAATTTATGCATCATCTGTTTCTTGGGAATTTTTTTCTTCTTTTTTGGGGGGTACAAGGGATTGAACACAGGGGCACATAAAACACTGAGCCACATCCCCAGTCTTTTTAATTTTTAATTTTGATACAGGGCCTAAGTTGTTGAGGCTGGCTTTGAACTTTCAATCCTCCTGTCTCAGACTCCCAAGCCACTGGGATTATAGATGTGTGCAATCAGGCCTGTCTTTGTTTCTTGGGAATTTTGAGAAGAAACTTGTTTTATACTCTTTTGTAGAGTAAACACCATTTGGACTATGAAGCAGATGCTAAGTCTTTTACCTGTATCTCAGTCTTCAAGTCCAGTTTCTTGTCTGCTATTGCCCTATTTGGTAGTATTTTTAGTGCCTGGGTGGGATTTGGAGAGGGCATTGAGAGGACTTTCATGTGTCCTCAGCAGACAGATTTGCTCCTGGAAAGAGGGTGTTTATGGGGTTGATTCCTGAAAAGGGTGCATAAAAATACCTAAAGAGTTGTTGTTAAAAGTTTTCCTCTTCTTACTTTTAGGATATAGGACTTATTTTGGTCACATCCCTCCTTTTTAAGGACTCTCTCCAGGCCTATTTACAGCTACAATATAAAGAGTGAGATTGCAGTTTACAGAAAAGAGAAGCCTGATAATTCTTGCTCAAAAATATGACAGGGAATCATGTAGATGCTTTCTGGGAAGTGCCAGGTGCCTTCCTAGTGGATACATCTGCCAATTAAAGACATTTTAATTAAGCTATTGGATGTGTGATTCTAATAATGGAATTTTTCTTGGCTTTGTAAAAAAAAGTGGCTTCAGTTAAAACTATGTGAAATGACTCATGGTTTTCCCTGAAAATATTAGTTTGTTTTTCCATCCCTGAGGGCTAATGGGTTGCAGCTGTTCAATAAATATATTTGTTAAATGAATAACAAATCCTAGAATGTCTTTATCTTCCCAACCTAATTACTCTGACCTTTCTGGTATTGATTTTATTCTAGTCATAACTTTAAAAGAATCACCAAACCTTTCACCAAATTGCAGCCCCATTGATAAAACCAACTAAGAAGACCATCTTCCTCAAGTGAAGGAACAATAGCAATCCCTCTAAAACTGCTATATTGGTACCTGTTGACTTGCTTATTCTAGCTGTCTGGATATGTGAACTATCCACCTGGCTGTGTGAGCCTACGTTCATAAATCCTGAGTTGACATCAGAATGTTCAACTCAGGAATAATCTGGATGGGTCTATGTCTGGATGTGGCTTTTGTCAGAAATTATTTGCATTTCTAAGCAAGTCACATGAACTTCTAGTACAATCCTGCATCTCTTCATGCCAAGCGGAGGGGCCAGTTGAACATTTGGCAATTGACTAAGTCTTTAAAATACATACTACTTGATGATTTTTCTAAATTTTAAATTAAATCCATGTTATTTTTGTCTACTGGTGCAGTTTGTTTAGAGACATTAATCCAGGCTGGTGGGTTACTTAGTAACTTGTGTTTATTAAAAGCAATTCCTTAATATAAATTCCAGTAATTCCTATGTTGTGATTGGCTGTTAACCTTTCAAGGAACTTTAGAAATGGGGCATTGTTCAGTTTGGAATACAAGAAGATCATGCCTTCCTTTTGTTTTAGTTCTAACTTCTCTAATCACTAGAGGTTCTCTATGAGATTCAGAATCTAACTTCAAGATGAAAGATTAGAAAGCTATACAAAGTGTACCTAAATATTAACATTGCATTGTTTAATAATAATGCAAAATTTCATCAATATTCTTCCCTTTATATGCTTCTCTGATCACGTTTGTTTCATTCTAAATAAAATCGAGTGATATTTTCAAATTTTTTATTGAGCTATGTCCAAAAATAAACACATAACATAAAGAAAATGCTTATCAGCATTCTGCAGTAACACAAATACTGCTATTCTCTGCATAATCAAACAAGGCCATTCATATCAAGTATTTATTTGATAAGTAGGTACTTGAGCCCTTGAATGAGAGTTAAAGACATGTTCCCTCCATGACTTATTAAGGTCCTTGAAAGCCAGGAAGAAGAATTTTTATTGTTAGTTGGTTGTAGGTTCCTTGACAGAGAGTAAGGGATGAAAGCTTCTTTTTGTGAGATCACTTTGGCAATTGAGTGGGAGTGGAATAATAGAAGAAAGGGGGATGTGATTATCTGACGTCAGGTGATGACAGTATGATATAAGAGCCCTGGGCATTGAGATGAAAAAGGGAAAACTTCAAGAAGTCAGACATCAGAGTTCTTTGTTGCATGTGGAAAGGACACAAGTATGATCACTAACATATTCTGCCCCCACTCAGGCCAGCTGATGGCTGCATTTGTTCTTGCTGGGCTCTGGGTAACCTGCGAATTATGCAAATGTTTGACAAGTATTTCCTAATAAATGTTAAGGATTGGCCTTGTGTTGTATGCCAGAGATAGTATTAAGCAGTACTTGGAATAACATATGAAATTTCAAGGATGATCAGTGTTAGGAAATGAAATCCTTTTGCCACTGACCAGTTGTATATCTCTGTGCAAGTTACTAACTTCTTGGAGTCCCCGTTTCTTCATGTTTCAATTGGGATGTTAGTTTCTATTTCATAAGGCCCAGCAAGGAATGAAAAGTGCTTAGAACAGTGTCTGGCAAAAAGTTAATGTTTTATGTGTTTGTTTTTCTTGTTTTTATTAACACATAAAACAACCTTATGCAATAGGTACCACTTTACAGATTTAAAAAGTAAGACTCGAAGAGGCTAGGTAAATTGCTCAGGGTCATAGGCTGGTAGATAGATGATAGAGGTGGGAGTCAAACTCAGACAGTTTGACTCCAACACCTGCTTTCCTATCTTGAATAGATTCCTGTTTCTTATCCCACATGGTAGGTGCTAGGGATACTGATTCAAGTAAAAACAGTGTGGGATTTTTCTCATGGAGTTTTAGAGATCCAGTCATCCCTAATGTAGATTTGCTATCTTTAAAATAAAATTAGCACACAGGTTATTGGCTACGTTTTTCTTTTCTCAATGTTTTCATATTTTATAATTTTTTTGAAGTTCTTTGTCAAAAAGTATTATAGTTTGTGTTTTTACATAGGCTTTAAAAATTTGTTATTTTTGCCTAATACCATTGACATGTACAGCACATACAACTGTCATGTATTCAGTATTCAGTGGTTCTTTTCTGGAGGCAGGGAGGAGATGCCTCCTTAATATAGCATATCAGGTTCTGGAGTAAGTATCAGTTTTCTGAGACACTTTGGTGCCATTCATCTCTCTCCATGGCCCTAGAGTCTTGTATCTCTCCCATTTGTGAGCCTGGTGAAGTGATGATGGCATTTCTAATCATTTTTTTTTTCACAGTTAATTCAGAAAATTCTACAGAGTAGTGGCAAAGTAAATTTTAACTGTTCTTTAACTTGATGAAATTACACATCACTATAGGAGGTCAGATTTTAATTATAGGTGGGAAGATTGCTATGACAGTAAAGAACGAAAATTGTCAATTTCTCCAGAGGTTCTCTAGAATGGAATCTGCCATCACTGATTTCCATATTTTGACATTGTTACACTAATGCTTATAATCTTTGTTCTCATAAATAACTCACAAATCTATACCTATTATTGTGGGTTTCCCCTTCCCATACCCTTCTCTCTCTTTTCTTTCTTGGTCTGAGAATTGAACCCAGGGCCTCATGCATGCTAAGAACAGGCTCTACCATTGAGCTATACCACTAGCCCCAGTATTGTGTTTGTCTAAGTAAATGCCAGTTTTTTTTCTGGTTTTGCATGACACTCATGGATGGAATGAATTCTTTAGTAGAGGAAAAATAAAATAAAATCTCATCTTTTTAAATATACTCTGTATTCTTTGATTTACCCTTTTGTGTAAATTATGCATCTTATGATTTAGTTAAAGTTCCATTCATTCTAGAAAAAACTTTTCAAAAATTTCATGAGTACAGACTTGATTAAGGAGATTTGGTGAATTTGATTTTTTGTTTGTTAAAGTTTTGCCATCTTTAATGTTTTAGTGTCATTCTAGTACTGGAACCAGAAATTCACCAAATGCCCAGATAAGAGATAAGTGCTAAGGGACCCATCACAGAATAGTCATTTTGTTGCTTTGACTTGATTCACTGGCTTATTTTGGAAACATGAGGCCAGCATGACTCATTTTTAACCCTTCTGGTTCCGTGTGAAAACTGCCTGTTTTGCATTTCCCCATGTTCAGAGAGAAGTCCCGGTGTGGGCTCCTTTTGTGAGCTCTGTGCTTCTAATGCCAGTGGCTGG